CCTGACCGCCCCATCCCTGTGCCTGACCGCCCCATCCCTGTGCCTGACCGCCCTATCCTTGTTCCTGACCACCCCATCCCTGTTCCTGACCACCCCATCCCTGTTCCCGACTGCCCTGTCCCTGTTCCCAGCCATCCCATCCCTGTGCCCAACAACCCCATCCTTGTTCCCAGCCATCCCATCCATGTGTCCCTGTGTGTGGATGGTCCCATGTGGGGCTGATCCCAACCCTGCCCTGCTGGAGCCTTCCTGCTCCTCCCCACCCCTCCTCCTTTTCCTTTGCTCCCACAAAACTCCCCCAAAGCCCCCAAATTCCACCTGCAACGCTCTTTGTGCCCTATCCCTGCTCTTCCCCTCAGCCTGGGAGCCGTTCCAGCCCCCTGTGATCCCTGTGTTCCCTCTCCCAGTGCTTCCTCGATGGTCCCTATGGGACCTCGACGCGGCGGATCTTCCTGTCGGAACACGCCGTGCTCATCGGGGCCGGGATTGGGATCACCCCCTTTGCCTCCATCCTGCAGAGCATCATGTACAGGTGGGTGTCCCTGCAGCTCAGGGTGCCCCTGGAGATCTGGGAGCTTCCCAGAATGGCCCTGGCTGAATTTGGGAAGCACCAGGTGATGTTCACCCAGAAAGACCTGGCCTTCGACACCCCTCGGGGTCCTGCTTGCTTCCAACCTTAGCACTCGGTTTCCAGATCCCCAGGGGGGTCCGCCCTCGGTGCCAGGCTTTTCCCTGGGGATTTTGGCTGCAGGAAAGCTGCTGGAGGAAGGATGGCCATGGGAAGGCACCAGAGAAGGGGAGGGTTGGGTACTTGGGGTCCTGGGAGGGACTGTGGGGTCTGAGGGGGGCAGGAAGGGACAGGAAGGGACACCTTGGGGCAGGAAAGGGACAGAGAGGGGCAGGAAAGGGCAGGAAGGGACAGAGAGGGGCAGGAAGGACAGGAAGGAACAGGAAGGGGCAGGAAAGGGAAGGCAGGGGCAGGAAGGTGTAGGAGTGGACAGGCAGGGGCAAAAAGAGACAGGAAAGGACAGGAAGGGACAGAGAGGGGCAGGAAGGGGCAGGAAAGGGAAGGTAGATGCTGGAAGGAGTAGGAAAGGGCAGGAAGGAGCAGGAAAGGGCAGGAAGGAGCAGGAAAGG